GTGTGTGTGTGTGTGTGTGCGTGTGTGTGTGTGTGTGTGTGTGCGCGCGCGCGCTCATATGTGTGTGTTGATAGAGATTAATGAATAAAAACGGTTTGTAAAAGGAAATCCACACAGTTACAAACGCATAATTGGTCGCTTTGTATGACAAGCGGGCTAACCCAGATTTCAGGGGTTTCCAGAAATCTAGACCAACACCAAATATGACCATTGCCCTACCTATAGGAAAAGTTTGGTTTCATTAGTGTGTATATTTGTTTGGTTATAGAGAAAACTCTCCTTGTCTTTTAAAGAAACTGAACTAGAGGCAAAAACGTTACCTTCGATTTTCTCAAAACAGCTTTTTTCGGGATAGCCCCCTTCTGCTTAAAAGCGACCAATTGTTAATCTGAGTTTTCACACTTTGACTGAAACCACTGAAATGGATAAACAGTAACTTGTCGACATGGAACAAGAAGCACTACTTACAAGAAAACAAATTGAAAGGGAGAAAGTTAGCCCTGGCCAACTTCACCCAACAAAGGCTTACATTCCACACGCCCACATTAAGTCTCGACATGCACTCACCATGTAAAATTATGGAATCTGTGTAATAATAACGTTGTTCTATGCTGATAGATACTAGAATCGAATTTTGCACCCTGTATTGAACACACATCAACAAACACATTAAACAACTGCTCTAACCCTAACCCTAACTCTAACTCTTATCCTAACCCTAACCCTAACCCTTACCCTAACCCTTACCCTAACCCAAACCCTAACCCTAACCCTAACCCTAACCCTAACCCTAACCCTTACCCTAACCCTAACCCTTACCCTATCCTTAATCTTAACCGTAACCTTAAACCTATCCTACTCTAACCTAACCTAACCTAACCTAACCTAACCTAACCTAACCTAACCTAACTTAACCTAACCTAACCTAACCTAACGTTAACTCAACCTTAACCTTGACCCTAACCATTGCCTTAAAAACCTAACCAAACATGATGTAACCTAACCTAATTCTAAGCCTAACCCTAACCCTAACCCGGGGCTAACCCTTACCCTGATAACTCTAACCCTAACTCTAACCCTATCTAACTCCAACTCTAACTCTAGCTCTATAAGCTAAAAACAAAATTATGCTGCGTAGGATAGGGTCAACCCATTAAAAAATGCAGGTATTAAGCTAGAATTTCATTCAGATTGGTTCCTCTGTGTTGTCGTAAGGCAAGACGATCCGCCCCCCCCCCCCATACGCACGCACACACACACACACACACACACACACACACACACACACACACACACACACACACACACACACGCACACACACACACACACTGCTCACATCTCCATGAACATTCTCAGTCTCAGACCTCCTGTTCAGCCTGTATTCTGTGGACCAACAGATTTGGGTAAGTGGTGACATTTCTCCGTTCTGGGAATTTCCCTTGGAAAAAAAAAGGCAGGAGCATACGCAAAATGGGTGCCAAAGGGGAAAAAAAGGGGGAAAAAGGGGAAAAAAGGGTTTCCCCTGTGGCAACAATACAGCACATTGTAGGCTAATTTCTGCCACTCTACTCATCTGAGTTTATATATAAACAAGAGTCCTTTGTTTGCTGTGGAAGCAAAACGTTCTTTCACGATGCATGTACTCACAAGTCTCGTTGTTTGTGTGGCTCTCATCTGTGTGGCCAACACGGCGTTATGGCAAGGTAAGTGAGTCAGACTCTAAATTCTCATTTTCATCATCATCATCATTGTCTTTCTCACCAGGGTATAGGCCGTGAACAAACACTTTCCCCATTTCGCTATCCTGGGCTAGCCTCATGACATTATTCCATGTCCCCTTACTTTTCTTTACTTCATTTTCTGTGATCAGCTTCAAAATACCCGTTGGTAATTAACATTTTCATAAACCTGATCCACTCTAGATCACCTGGTGCGCCCGGAGACCTTTATATGCAAGACCTTTGCGAAAGAGGTCACATGAGAGCCATCTTTTTTTTGAACGTGAGAAAGCATTCAACACATACTGAAGTATGGTACCCTTCGTCGAGACTTGCACGCTCTCGGCCTAAGCGGTCACTTCCCTGCCTTTATTGGCATTAAGAACAGTTCCTTCCAGTTTCATGTCGGATCTACCTTCTCACCAGCAGGAAGGTGTTTCCCAGCTAAGCATCCTTTCCCCTCTCCTCTTCTCGAATGAAAATATATTCCATAATTCAAGCCATCCAAAACAACACAGACACATTGTTATATTTGACGACTTTCTGATATGCTACAGATCTAGAAATCATCAAAGAAGATATATGGAAAGAGAGCTGCAAATATAGTTCTCTAAACTTAAAAAGTGGGCAAACGAAACGATTTCAAGTTTTACCCGACAAAGACAGTAGCAATGCACTTCTACCGATTCGGCAGACGTGTACTGCAACAGGATTTGACATTATACAAGATAGAATGCCCGTCCAGGACCTGTTCGTTTCCTGGGGATAATCTTTTGATAAAACCTAGTATTCTTACCTTCCATTAAAGAGGTTCTTTGAGATGCCAAAAATCCTTTAAGTGCTTTAAGAATTGTACCGCCTCCAGAGTGGTGCGGGGACTCAAAACACCTCCTCCACTTGTCTGTTTCCTTGTCCAATCCAGGTTTGACTAAAACTGTCAAGTCTATGGATCGGCAAATCTTGCAATTTAAAAATTCACTAACCGTACAAAACCATGGACTCCCCCTCGCCCTAGAGGCTTCCCGCATTTTTTCATTTGAGAGGCCTCAAGGACGAGGCCAACATACCATCCCTAGCACTCAGGCAACCCCACTTTCACGACTGCATGCAATTACATTCAGCTCAATACCCAACAACCCATGAATGTATTTTTAAAACCCATTCGGACACAATAAGCGTATTCAAAATTAACGTAAAACTCGATAAACCTTTCGTCTTCAAAGTCCTTGAGTACTGTACCCCCCAAGAAAAAAGGGAAAAAAAAGAAAAAAAGAAACAGAGCAATTAAACCTCACCACACTCAAAAAAGCCTACAAAGACACAAAATCATTCAAAACCACAAACAAAACTACCTCATCAAATAATATCCGGACGCTTAGGAAAACTTCACAGTTGGTTCGTAATCAGAATTAGAAGTAGGCGCAGTCGCCCCGTCCGCAAACAACACTCATCAGAGGAGGCTCCACCCCGAGGTTTCCATTTTTTCCCGCCAAATCATCCCTTTCTTATTTTATCTAATTTCTTGTTTTGCCTTACGTCACTTACCGATCTCACCCTTTCGAAACCAAGGAGGAAAATCGTATTTGCATAGCTGCTTAGCCATGAGGGCATCTGAGGAAACGAGCAGGTCGATTCTCTGGTGAAAAATTCCTTGCCCTCTGTTGGGATCAACGGAGAACATCTTCTCACAGACAGACTTCAACATTATGACCAAAATCAACACCCCCAGTCTGTGCGAGGAACACTGGAGAGAATAAGAACTGCGCCACAAACTCCACAATATTACTATTACTCCCTATCCGGGCCCGCAAAAAGAACTTCAGGCCTCTCCAGGAAAGACGAAGTTTTAAAAACATTTTTAAAAACTTTTACTAGATTACGAATTTGACATACCTCCCTAACACATAAATACCTCCTGCGGGAGGGGTGGGGGTGGGGGAGGGATAGAAGCCTTTTGTATCGGATGAGATACGGATCTTTTCCACCAGGCCCATACAAATAAATTTACTCATATGAGAGACCCGAAAGAAATATTTTAAATGTATAAACGGGTTTAAAGAATATTAGTATTTTCTCCATCTTTGATCCCAACATAATTCTCAGTTTTACAAAGGCCACTTGGTCTTTAGTCCAAGATGTAAATAGTTATTCTTAAAGTGTGAATTTCTGTTTTTAAAACTAAATTTGTACAATAAAAATGTTTAACCTAACCATAAATTTAAACCAAGCTGAGCTGTGAACTATCGTGGATAATACATACTAACGTTTTGTGTGCTCATATAACCTTAAATATTTGCGAGGGCCGTAAAACCATTACTAAACTAAACTAATTACACAATTAATTTCCTCCTGCAAAGGTATGGTAGGTATTTTAACGGCCCTTTTAAACGCTGGACGGAACGTTATGTGAGACGCGAGACCTTGTACTTAACCCTTCGTATTCGGCGTACCAGCGTACCAGGCGCACAGCATCTCACTGTTGTTTACAGTCCTAATTAACAAACATCTACAAAACCCCAGCACCATAATAATGCTGCACGTTCTTTCCTAGGAATATTCATTTTTTTCTGTTTGGTATTTATTTCAAGCTTATAGGTTAAATAGCGGCGGGCTACAGGAACATGTTTAATGTTAAAAAATTGGATGACAAAACTGGATGAGCTTATAGATAGAACAGCCGTCCATGAGTTAACGTCCATTTCATCTCCAACAAGACTGAGCTCAGCAGGCGAAGAGCCAAGAAAACTCCTCAAACAGCCAAAGTTCAAGAACACCTCGCTGGGGGTTCGAATAAAGTTTACTCATGCTAAGCATGACATCATCTCAGCTTAAAGTGCGTGACTTTTCAACTCTTCTTCCAGAATCATACGTATAGTTGGAATATGTTTTGCGAAAGAAGTTTCCAGATTAGCACAAACACTGCGCACATATGACCTTATGCAGTTGCGAGAGCCGTAAAACTCTAACTAGACTAAACTAGACAATAAAAAAGCAACAAAATTACTGTATACACAAAAAACAAATAAATACATGAACCAAATTTACTTTCTCAAATGTTGAACCAGGCGAATGATTTACTTTACGACGACATAATTTATCTACAAAAGACCTTTATCGTGAGCTAGGGGTAATGCCCTCAACTTATGCAGGTTACCAAAAACCAAGAGAGACTCTGTAAAAAGATACATCTGTGGGGACTTGAAAATGGTCAGGGGAGTGGGTCCTCCTTCTTTACTTTTCCTCTGTTCTTTTTTCTGTTTGTCTGTCTTACCTTTTCCGAGCACTAAATGAAAATTATGTTGTCGATGTGCCTCTCTTTACTCAAACAAGAAAAAATGAATAAATAAAAAGAAACATTAAAAAATCAACATAATGAAAACGGTCAGAGAAATAAGAAGAAAACCCTCTCTGAAGGTAAAAGATATGTTAGCAACACATATCACGGAGATTGTCAAGAGCTTAATGAATAAGTTGTATACTGGAAAGCAATCGCTTTATGAGTTTTGAGCAGGTTTGCGGGATGATGAAGAATGGCCAGTACTTACCAGTGTTTAGCTTTAGTAAGAGTTTTACGACACGTGCAACCCAATTAGGTCATATACGTTCCATGACCAGTGTAGACAATTAATTATTTAAGAGCTGATCCGCATTTCTTGCTTCATCCAGATGATTTCCTGGCAACTTTCCCTAATTTTGAGAAAGTATGTCTTTGGTGAAATACGAACGATCCAGTGGGAAAACATTAAAAATATTTACGAAAATTTCACAACCAATGCAGTACATTATGTATCATTAATTTTAAATTGTCTGATAGTACTGATACTCAATTAATCATCCTTTTTTGTTCTAGGTCACGGATGCCCAGACGGTCATAGCCCAGGTGAAACATTTTATGTTCCTCACTGTTCACAGTGCACGTGTGGAGAAAGCACTTATGAATGCAGCAGGTATATATTTGCATTGATCTTATTCGTAAGTGAACTCTTCAAAATAAGCCTCTTGAAGATAACGCTCTCTCTCTCTCTGTCTCTCTCGGTCACTCTCTGTCTCTGTCTCTGTCTCTCTCTCTTTCTCTCTCTCTCTCTCTCTCTCTCTCTCTCTCTCTCTTCTT